GGCCTTCAAGTTCTTGACGCACAGCCAATCCTCAGCACTTTTGTTGGAACGCACCCACTCTTTGAAACGACGCCATGCGCCATCCAAATCATAGCTCTCAAAGTACGCATCAAGGCGCTGCTCTGCGCTTGTGCAATCAGTGACTCCACGAAGAAGGCCAAACTTTTCGAGCTTCAGGAGGCACAAGGCTCGCTTGACATCCTCAACGCTGCAGGCCTGTGCATGGCGAGCATGGAAGCAAATGTAATCCAGCAACTCTTGCTTTTCTTCCTCAGACAGTTGGCTCTCTTGACCACGTCCAGATCGAAAAGCCGGAGGACATAGACAAAGAAGATGACCGGCAGCATCAAGAAGGCCTCGCACCAGCTGTAGCTTTTGCCGCTGCACATGCAAGGTTACTAGAGCTTTGTCTTCAAGGCAAGCTTTCTGGCTTGTCCAATCCTTTCTCTGGAGCATCAAAGCAATCTTGCCGTACATCACATACCTTGCCTCTGCATGCTTGAGACGGACGGCATGCGTTTCAGAGATGCTTGCATATTCTTGCACAAGGGAAGCAACTGTGTACTCAGAATCGATGACAATGAAGGGTTCGCAAGGCTGCTCCACATCAGGAACTGCCTCAATAGTTCCGCTGCTGACTGGCGCAGCAGACTGTCTGCGTTCTTCTTGCCACGCGGCCCAATCATTCACAGACAAGGCCTTCCAAACATCAAAGTACTCTTTTTGCTTCAGGACGACGTCTCCACGCTGACGAGCCAAGTGCGCTTCCACTCGAGCATGCCACACCATATTGCTTTCCCTTGCCAAACGCAACCACCCCTTTTCAGGCGCTGGCAGCATTCCACTTCGCAAAGCTTTGCTGCTTTCCGTCCGCTTCTCCACATTGCGGTTGAAGCAATTTGTGCCTTGCACATGCTTTACATGGATTGGTGACCAATTGTTAACCTAGCCAAACCAAATTCACAAAACAAAATCGATGAAAACGCATAGTATGCGTCCTTGCAGATAAGCTACAAAACCCTGGCAAGCAACTCTGCAAGTCAGCGGTGATCGCTGCGGAACATTCCACGCATTTAGGCTGTGGAGGGATAGGTTTCTGGAGTTCTGCCTCCGCCTCCTCTTGTTTCTCCCAGCACTGGAAACAAAGATTCGGCACTGGAGCTTTATTCTCCCACGAGACAGGCTGAGAACACAGCATGCACACAACGGCTGCTGTCTTGCGCACTGGCTGCTCATCGTTCTCAACATCTTGCGGCGGGCTTCTCGGAGGAGGTAGTGGAGGTTCTACTTCGGAAGGTAGCTCGCTTCGACCTTTGTCTGCAGCAAGTGGGCAAGCAGCTGCTGCATCGTCAGAGGCAGCTGCTCCTGAGGTGTGCCACACTGAAGATGCGGATAAACACAAAGTTTTAAAGAGGCCTAAACACAGGACCCAAGTCAACTGGATTGCTCATCTTTCTTAACAGCTATACACACATACATCCTCCTGACCTGGGTTTCATCCAGGGAAAGTATTTGACAATGAACTCAGAAAAGCTTTGCGATGAGTTCGGCCCCGTCACCAGCAGGCTTGAGCACACTTCCGTCTCCAGCAGGCTGCTCAACCGTAGCAGCTATAGCCTCTGGAGGTCCTGTGGGTTGGGCGAGATAGAGGGCGAGATGTGGGCGAGGTATTGAGCGAGATCAAAATTCTTGCCCGGAAGTCCGAGGCCCACTTACACATAGTTGGGGGAGGTCACACCACACACCCTCCTGCTTTCAAAAAGCAAGGTTTCGAGAGAGAGAGAGAGATAGATCAGGATTCGACTGAAACCTTGAAACGCATCGTTCTCGAATCTTCACTGCCGCTGCCTGGAGAAGGAGCTGCCTTTGCTTTCGGTTTCCAAATAGCACGCGCAAGTTTAGCACGAAGTTCTAGCTCCAGCTCATCGGAACTCCATTCGACACACCATTCATCCAAAGCTTCAACAAGATTGGACTGCGAAAGTCTGGTGATAGCTGCCTGGCTGTACTTCTTGGGCGCCATGCGCCAGAAGCAGGAAGCGAGAACTTTGAGACACAACTGCCAAGGAACAACCCTGCGTTCAGTGATAGTGATGGCAATCAACCTAAAAGCAATGGCCTTCAAATGAGTAGCAATTAATGTCAATGTCAACCCTTCTAGTAGCAATAGCAATGGCCTCCAACCTACTAGCAATGGCCTGTTCCCGGCATAAAACCTGTTTGCAACAATGACATCGCTTTGCTGAGTTTGTTTGCAACAACGACATCGCTTTGGTGAAAAATGCTAAAGACCAAAAGCATTCTCCTTGTTCACCAAAACAAAGAGAGAGAGAGAGAGAGAAAGATAGAGCATTCATCTTCTCTAACTAAACACATCTCCTCTAACAAAACAAATGACCAATTGCTGCAATGCTTTTAAACCCCTGCTTGTGTTGAAGTCACAAACTGCTTTGTGTGAACAAAGCAAGCGCCCAGCCCCTGAGTCTGGTGTGGTTTAGGCACTCTCACTCTTAGGCGCTGCCTTTGGCTTACACCTAACACAGATACAAACATCTCTGCCTTGCTTCTGGAGATGTGCCCGCTCAACTTGTGAGACTTGTAGAAACTTCTCCAAAGCACCAGCAGACTTGACGCGATCATACGAGCGAGAGATCTTCAAGAATCTCGCTGCTTGACTGCAAGAGTAACAAGTTCCTCCAGTCACGACTGTGGTTTTCTTGCTTTCACAGTACTTCCAAGAAACTGTGTGCTTCTGAGCTTTACAGAAGTGGCACACATTCAGTAGTGAAGGCACACCTGACCCTGGACTCTTGCCAGCTTTACTCTCATCAGCTGGCTTCGCTTTCAACTTGGAGAAGATGTCAGGGTCATTGTCGCGAATCTGCTTTGCCAACGCCCTGGCTGACAAAGCCTGAGCGAAGTGGTTCCTTCCCAATGGAAGATTGAGGTTGCTGAGACCTCTTCACAAAATCCTTCACTCTTATATACATATCTCCTTAAAACGTATCAATATACATATATATATATATATACAAATATATATATCCATAAAGATATATATATATATAGACTGTAAAATAGACTTAAAACCATTGCGCCCTCTTGCTCTCCCAACAATGGAATAAATGCTTGCAATTAGAGAATTCTATCTCTAGACCTTAGTGACCCGACACTGGCTGCTCCGAAAACGAGACAAAGAGTGAGCATAAGATGTGCAAGTAAGAAAATAAGCAAACACATTTGTTAGGCCAGAGTTTGTAGTTTGGGTTTGTATTCTACTTGTTCACAGACAGAGACAAAGAGAGAGAGAGAGAGAGAGAGTTCGAGCAGGTTCCTTCCCTGCTACTTAACAAACAACAACAGCAGCAACAACAACAACAACAACGGACAAAGCAGCAGCAGCCAGCGCACTAAAC